AAGAAAGAAAGAAAGAAAGAAAGAAAGAAAGAAAGAAAGAAAGAAAGAAAGGCACATGCAATCCAGAGAATGGGGAAATACCTAATATTCCCCACCACAAAGAATGAAACCCAACCTTTGATAGGTTCCATTGGGTTTTATAGGCAGCATATTCCATTAGGAATACAGAAACTACCAATTCACCATGTTGGTTTGAAGGCTATTAGTTTCAGTTAAGGTCCAGAAAAAGAAAGTTCTCTGTAGTCCTTCAGGTTTTGGTTCTGAAGTGCTGACATTTGATCTCCATGGCTCAGCAGACTCCATGATACTAGACAGATTGTGGTAGAGAAAGACATTGTGTAGGGCTTTGGCAAGGCCTAATAGGATGGTCACAGCAGAAACTCCTATGATTTGGAAGCAAAGTTATGTCACATGTAGCAAAAAACTACACTCCATTCAAAAAACAGGTCTCAGTATAATACTAGATCCTTAGAAACTGCACATCTGTCCTTGGGAATTAAATGACTGTATAGACAGAACTACTCATCATGAATTGAATACTTTCAGACTTACCAAATCAACACACTGGGCAGTCCTAGCAGCAATTAATAAAGTGGGTGTGGTACACCCAGAATCAGGCTCAAGCTGCTCCAGAGGGCACAAAGAAGGTGCATGAACAGCTTGCTCAGAGCCCATGTTTCTCTGGTGCCTTTGTCTCAATTCACACTTTGGTCACATGGTCATTTTCTATGACTAACTGATGGGAAAAGAAATATGCAAGCTTGATTCACAGATGGGTCAGTTTAGTAAGCGAGTGCAAGCAAAAAATGAAGTATCGCTGTACCAGGTCATCTTTCAGGGGAAGCCCAGAAAGAATGTCATGGGGAAAACCTTCCACTGGGCAGAGCTTCAGACACTGCAAGGATGATGCATTTGAAATGCAGAAATAGTAGGCAAAGGGAAAGGTATATATAGACTCACAAGCAGGCAGAAATGGCTTATCTGACTGGTCAATGTCTTGGAAAGAACCAGATCAAAGAACTGGAAATAGGAAGTCTGGGAAAGTGTCAGTTAAATGGATCTTTGAGAGTCAGCACATGAGGATCTTTGTATCACACATTAATGCTGAGCAGAGAGCATCCACCTCAGAAGAGGCATTAAACCACTTCATAGACAAGATGACTCAGTGAGTGGACATCTTCTAACCTTTGTCCTTGACCACCACAGTGATTGCATTATGAACTCACAAAGAGAGTGGCCACAGTGGCAGAGTTAGAGGCTATTTGGGATTCGGATAGCATGACCTCCCTCACTAATGCAATCTAACTCCTGCCCTTTGCAATATCCCACCCACCAGCCAAAGAGAACAAAACTGAGACCTCAGAAGAGTACCACTACTCAAGAAAACCAAGCGGCCATTTGTAGCAAGTTGATGTTATTAAACTCCTTCTCCACCCTGCCCCCCACGAGTGGCAGCCATTCATCACTGACCGGAATCAAACCATATTCCAGGTTTGCCTTTTGGATCCACTTGCTATTAGCGAGCACCACTATCCACAGGCTGGTAGAGTGTCTGATCTACCAACATGTCACAGACAAACACATTTTACCTAAGAAGGCACAGCAGCAGATGCTATGGTTCATCCCACTAACCCAAGTTTCCCCCAAAATATGACCAACCAAAATCCTGAAGAAGTTGTGCTTAGAAGGTGTGAACTTAATATAGGTAGCAAGTGATGAGAAGTGCAAGGAGTTGATAGTTGAATGCTGTGGTCCCCCACGCAGATGTCTTCTATTAGGCAGTATACATGTGAACATTGGCTTATCACAGCTCATGGCTCCTCCTGTCTCCAGAGAACTGTCTTTGTCCAAACAGGAGCATCCAAACATTAGTGGGACTAATGATGTAGATAGGACATTCCTAAATTGTACCAACAGCACAAACATTTGGCAGACATACATGATTCCTCAAAATATTTGCAAAGTTATGTGTTAAGATGATTATTGGCAAAGATCAATTCATCAGAAATATATCCCTGAGTGCTCATAACTTCAGGGAAATGACATATCTTGGAGATTGTATCTGTTTTTCCCTGTTTTATAAATGCTGGTACACACCTAAGTAGCTATATATCTTCCATTTGTCCTTTAATGGATGGCAGCATTCTGATCTTTTCTTTGTTGAGTGGTACCTTGTTGCCACCTGTTACTGCATTTCCAGATAATAACAACTTATAAAAAAAAAAGCGAAAAGAAAAGCATAAAATGGTGGAGTGGAACATCAGAGGGCTCATCAGAGCATAAGAGCTGGGTAGAGTGTTGAACGCCAGCCATTAATAGCTTTTATGTCAAATAAAATCTTCCAATGGAAGATTCTGAGGTGACAGAATATTCTGATTAAAGATGACTGGGAGACATGAAAAAAAAATCAATAGTGCTTATAAAAGATGGTAACTTTCAGCAGCACACACATTAAGGAGTCAGCAAGGGAGAAGTCCAGAGAGTAGAGAACCAGGAATTTAATAAAATTAATATACCTATTTCCTTCTTAGGAGAATTCTTCTAGGAGATGGTGAGGAAACTATAGTGTTCTTCCAGGATCGTTCCAGCAGCAGTTTATAAATACTCTATTGGTCTAGTCTGGGCCCATCCTCATGTCCATCTGTTCCCAAGATAAAGGATATAGTCCCCAGTTAATACTAATCACGAAATCACTGCACAGGAAGATGGTCTCAGTGATGGTGGAGAGAAGTGACTCAGCACCTGTGGCTTTGGTTTACCTGGAGAAGATTGGTGCTGGTGACAGTCACACATGTCTCTTCCTGCAGGTGCCTGAGCCCCAGCAGAATTCTCCTCTCTTGCTCTCTCCCTGTCTGCCTCCCACCCACCCACCATTTTTTTTTTTTTTTTTTTTTTGGTCCTAGACACATATACACTCACACAATTTTATAATCTGGTGTCTTTCATTTAAAAGACATGCATCAATGTCTAAGTAGAATTACTTGTGCTTTACTCTGGCTTTGACTTGCACCTATGAATCAGCCCTATGCCAATAAACCTAATCCACAGTAATGACCCCAAGTTTCTAGCAACTGGACTCCCTATGCTAAATCTTCTGCAGTTTTCTTATAGCCTAAGACCCATGGTGGTTGGTTGGTTGGTTGGTGAAACAAAGTAGCCCCTGTAGGGAAAGGGGAAACAGCTCTAAGGAATTTGGTAGTGCAGAATCAGACTGCTGTGTCATTTTGGTGAGAAAAGTGGCAAACAAGAGAGTGAGGACAGAGAAACTGGTAGTGAAGGACTTAGCTAATTTGAGAGG